TTGTTACAGAAAAAAACTGAGGTGACCCAATCAAATTAATTTGAAATTAAGTGCAGTGAGGCTGATAACTCCACACGAGTCAGGAGTTCAAATAAAAATAGAAGAGACAATCTACAAAGCAAGAAATTACAAGCGGGCAGGGAGTCGAGCTGGAATTACTGCGTCTGGGAGGCGGCAAACACACGGCGTTGGCACACAGGGCCACTGAAAAAACCCACTGAAAACGGATAAAGAGATGGGCAAAGGCTGCAGGATGTAAAAGGAGAAGCTGGAGGAGGAAGGGACGAACACGAAGATGGATTTGAAATAAATGGGTAGGGACAGTGCTTGTTAAGCTAACTAGATTTATTTCTCTGCCCAAGAATTCTTATGTCCTTACAAGACAGCACTGAAGCAAGGTCTTTAATTTTACTTTCCTGGGTTTATTGCCTGGGCCCTGATGTTATTTAACAGCAACGAGCGTCAACCAGTTTCATTGCGAAGCTGGACTTAATTCAAAATCGTTAAATCTGGTGGAAGCTTTTTCCTCTGGACAAAGACATCTCGAAGAGGCTGGTGCTTCTCTGACAAACCATGGAAGTCCTGCACCCTGGGAGGACAGACATCACCGAAACACTGGTGGGTAGAGCAGGGATAGGAAGATGGTGTTCCCCCCCAAATCATGGTGACTGGGATGCTGGTGACGCACACAATCGTCGTTTAAGGAATTTCACCTGATGGGAAATGGTTAAGAGAAGCAATATCTTGACACGAGCCATCTCTAGGAGACTCTTGAGTGCTGCTACAAGATGATGCTCGAGTTATCACCTATGTTGAGTTTCCTCCCAAGTCTTCACCAAGTCCTGTAACATTTGTTTTATCACTTGGGGCCAAAAGCAGATGGGCTCCTTAGAAAAGGCTGTGCTGGGGACTGCCCCAGGTCCTGCTGGGACACACGGAGAACGCCAGCTCGGACCATCCGTTTGAGATCCAATCCCCGGCAACCCAGGTCGAACAGCACTTGGGTTTTTAAAGGACTGGCCAAAACTCCACCAACCTTCCAACGCAGCTGCACAAGCAACTTTCCTCCCAGCTCCCCACGTGGGCCACACTGAAATGGCACCTTTTGTGCTTTCTGCCCTCTCCACGTGAAATGCAAATGGTTCCTCTTTGCCTTGAAGGTCCCACGGCTTCGCTTCTCTCTGTCCTCACCTCTAATTCACCCCTAAGTGTACAGGGAGCGTTTGGGATAAAGCTTCAAGAAAGCATTCGACATAAATTAGCATTCCCCTTCTAAACGGATTACAAAAATCCTGTTATTACAAAATACTAAAATGTTCCAATTATTGGTGTGGAAAAACGTTTCCTGGAGGTAAAGTTTTTAAAAATTGAGGTTTTAATCACAAGCATAATCCTTTCTGGCTAACGTTCCCAGTCTTGTGAAACATCTAGATACAAACTGCGCAGAGGCCTGGCTGTGCTACGAACAAAGGAAGATGCTGCCTGTAAATAGCTTAGAGGACATCAGAAGACACTTCTCTCATCAGCAATCTTTTTTAGCTTAATATAGCTCCTCTTTGCATAAAACATTGACATTTTTGCAATGTTTGGACCCAATGGTGCGAATGCTGATTGTCATCCGAAGATACTGGAGTGTACCCTCAAAAATATGCAAGAACATTTTACTGAAAGCAGTTTTACTTGCCTCCAAAATGCTGTATCTTAATATTTCATACTTATATATATTTAAATGTTAGTACCACCGGATAAATGCTAACATGCTTTTATGCTAATGCAATCACTGAAAATCCAGATAATGTTGTGTATTGGCATATACTGTTAGTGAATTATGGATACCTAAATGTACAACCCCACATGCCTGGCAATTATTTTTGTTAGTGCATTTAACTTTTATTTGCAATCAGAGCACTGGAGGATTGGTCAAATGAAGTTTACTTTTGCAAACTGCTGAATGGAAAACATTTTGTTAAAGGTTTAAAAACAGTAAGACTGCGATGAGGTTGCAGAGTTGCAGGAAGGGCACTGCTCAGAAAACTCTACCAGATGGAACGATGTTTGATTTGGTCACAGACTCGGCGATTAAAACCCAAGTGCCTAAAATGAAGGACGTATAAGAGAAACAAGAGATGAAATCTTGATTTCCTGCTCACCACATCACCCTCCTCCACGGCAGAGGCTCACAGATAGAGGCAAACGGATGCCAGGAGAACAGCATCCATCCAAGCAGTGCCCTGCACCAAAGGGTCTCCTGGGACCCTTTGCCTTGAGGACCAAACTCTCCTGTGCCAAGGCTGCTTTTCAACTCCAGTTTAAGCCAAATAAAGAGGAACAATATCAGCAGGGAGAAATCCTGAACTGCCCCTGCTGTACCTTCTCCTCCTTCTCCTCTTTCTCCTCCTACCACCTTCGCTGATCCCTTGTCTTGGTCAGACACCTGGCCCGTTGGCTCCAGGAGCTGATCCACTTGAAAACCCTTTTATCCCAAATCAGTTTTCAGCACAGCCAGACCTCCGAGCTGGGTCTCAGCCGACCTGCGTGCAGGCAAGACTTGGGTGATGCAGCTGGTTGCTCCATCTCTTACCTGCTTCACTACCTGCTCAGAGTTAAAGACAATGCAAACCTGGAGAAGACCGGAATATTTTTAAGAGTTGAAAAGTTCTGGGTGTGACCCAAGCACCTCTGAGACTGCTCAGTGTCCAGTGGTTTTCTCCTGCATAGAACAGCTTGTCTGCAGACAATGCCAAACTCTCTCTTCCAGATTCAGCTACATCAGGAGTTACAGACCTTTGGGCTGGGCTGAGGAGCTGCTATAATCATGCCCTGATTTTCCTCTGGGAAGGTTTGCCTGGCTTGAAACCACTGGCCTGAGCCAACCTGGCTGAGGACACTTGGGAAGTGGCCACAGACCCATTTGGTGAGCAGCAGACCATTGCATCCAACGTAGGATCTGATACCAGCTCCCGGCACACAAGTACAGATCAGATCATGTACCTGCAGCCCAGTGAGTTGTGGCACCTCTGGGAATTTACTGGAAAGTCCTACCACTAACCGAGGCCCCTGGGAAGAACCACGAGTGAAGGAAATAAACAATAACCCTCCCGAAAAACACAAGACATCAGAAAATGCGTAGTGTGAAGTACTCGAAATGCCCCTGGCAGTTTAAATGGAGCACGGAGTAAGCTGAGAAAATGTATGAACAAACAAATTAAGCAGATAGCACGAAGCAGACGAGTTGGCACGTAGGTGCCTATTGAGAAAGCTTAAGCACAGCAAGGGGAGAAAAGCAAACCCAAAACCCAGGCATAATATTCCTCACATTTTGGAACTGAGCTCTCAGACAAGGCATCATCCAAACCACTCAAAATTACCATCTGTCAGAACGTCCTTTAAAGAAAAAAGGTCTAAAAGTTTCCAAAGCAGTATTTTGATATCGTCCTATTAGAAGAGAGATTGGTTCTGTCCAAGCAAAGGCATCTGCAATTGAGTGTGGAATACTACATATCGGTTTCGTGGCCGCTGCTACACGCTGATATCATCAGACAATGAATTTCTTGAGTCTTGATCATTTCACGTTAGCTAAATCCGGAAGGAAGCGATTTAACAGCCCCTGTCATTTCACAAGTTCCCTGCAAGTGTTTCCAGAGCCTCTGCATGATTTTCTCTTTATGAAACATATAATTAAGAGTCTCCATTCTATTAAGGAACCTAAGGAAACAATTGTAATATTGTTTCAAACATTAAGATATGCCAGAATACGAAGAGTGGGTCTGTGTTTCTGACGTGAAA